TCAGAGAAATTCCTAGGTACCACATTTAGGACAAACAAGGAGATACCTTCTCATAGATGTAGTCAAAGCGGAACTCATTGGTGTGGCTGTAAATACTGGAAAAGGAAAAAAAAGGAAAAATAAACATGACTAGAGTTTACTCTTTCCTGTGCCTCTGCTGTTCATTGCTGTTGGAAGCAGGATGCGAGTATGTTTTGTTCTTACATATAAACACAGGAGCAATCTGGACTGGGAAAATGGGAGTGTTTCTTTAAGTTTTGGTTACCCTGTTGGCCTGCTGTTATTCTCTTTGAAAAATTCCAGTCACATTTAGAGGGCATAGATAAACAGAAGTGTTACGATGCTTCAGCAGCTCAGAAAGAATTTTGAAACATCCTTTACTTCATGGCACCCAAGAGGCAGTTGCACGGTATTTTCATGAATGGCCAAGGCACTTCTCACTTTTTGCGGAATAGTGGAACACTTGAAAGGTGACAAGTGAGATCTGCAGTGGTTTGTACATTAGTCCTTAGTTTACAACTTGATTCTTTTAATTTCCTTTTCATTTCTTTCATGTTTTTAAAGTTCTTGTTGAACTGAAAACCCTTAACTGTGTTAATTTTGTTTGAAAGCTCTGCTTATGTTGAACCTTTTTTATATGCACTACATTACTTTAGTCTTCAACACATTTCCATGTCAGACACACACAGTCTAGTAAGGCTAAAAACGTAAAGTAATTTGAATTAACACTTTCTAAATCCTCAGAAGTTTTAGGTACCTCATCCTGCCACAGTCCTTTAGGGTTTTGCTTTGCCTGAGGTTGCTTTTCTTCAAGAAAAAAACAACCAAGTTCTGTTTCAGTCATTTGCTATTTTATCACTTAGAAGGGATTTAATGGAAAGGGCAGCATGGCCTGCTTCCGCAAAAGTGGTTGTTCTCATTTAAAATACCATGGAACTGGGAATCCTTAAGCATCCCAGTTTGTTTTCAAGGGTAACTGCTGTTGGCAAGGGTACAAGGTGTAAATAATAGATTCTGCTAGTATTTTCGCTGTATTAAAGCTTTATTTTTTCCATCCTTGCTGAGCTTAACTGGACTTTTGAAATCTAGGGAAGATATTAAGGCTAAAGCAAACCATTTTCTGACAGTTAATGTATTAAAAAATCTAAGCTCTGAGAGTTTCAACTGCCAACAGGTGGCTAGTTTAAAAGTTTGCTGTACTGCAAGGGGACAGTTAAGTACCTTGAACTGGGACTCATGCTGGGGTGGGGTGGTGACAACACATACATTGCATGTCAAGCAGTAGGAAACATAAAAATAAAAAGACTGATAAGCTGCTGCTCTCTTGACCCAATCTCTTTCAGTGAAGCGCCTTGTGAGAGCCTGCAATTCATTGTGGTGTTTTAACCTGTTCTGCATGTGTAAACATAGCCAACTTCACTGTAGAGCAGAAAGTAAACAAGGTGTCCATAGCCTTTTATACAATAGAATAAGAGATAGAAATAAGTAGAATCAGAAATAAAAACACTCACCCAAGAGATGTGGGATCTGTATTCAGTTCCTTCTGAGAAGGTTCAAATGTACATTTTTCCACACTGAGTAATTTTACCTACTAGTCTTGGCATTGAAGCAAAGTGATCAAAATTGATTAAGCCAGAAGGAAAACAATAATCTTTCGTGTTTCTCCCTCTTGCTACCCTCACATTGCTAGTTCCCTTTGTTCTGGAGTTCTGTTTTACAGGTTTAAATGGAAACATTTTAAGTAACTTTTTTTTTTTTTTGGCATTAAGAAGTGCTGACTTAATTGCATTCTATCATGAATGCAATAAATCATAATCTGATTTTAGTACTTACTAAAGTTGGTTGTAAGAAGATACTTTCTAAGGAAATAAATTTTATGTGAAAGTTTTGGGGAAAGGATTTAAGAAGCCAGTAAGATTTTTGACTTGTTCTTTCCTAGAGTAGTAAAATACTATACTAAAATGTATCCTGTCCTAGATCTCTATCAAGTTCTTTCGGTAGAGAATATTTAACATCCTTTTACACACTGTCCTTATAAGGGCTTTCACCTCAACAATACCCTTGTATAGCACTACCTGGACTCACCTGAAATGTTAGTGTAGATGGCCAAGTCCCCTTTCTCTTCCAGCTGATGAGGACTGCAGTTCACTAGTGAAAACATATATGCCCTTGTTTACTATACCCATAAGCACACACGCACATTCACAGATCTCTTGAACATCAGTGCGGGTCCATGTCTGGATGCTGAGCTCTCTCACCTCGCTGTACTTGGCTCCTGCTCACTGGCTGGTTCAGCTTGGTTCTCGCTGGCAAGAGGATGCATGTATTTGTCTCGAGCATACCTATGCTTGCAGACCCCTTGAATATCAGCATGGGCCCTGTGTCCGTGCCTGGATCCTGGGCCTCGTACTTGCCTCCTGGTTTGCCAGCAAGTGACATACACCATGATCCTCCACTCCCACCACCATGTTTGGGGATAATGTAAATCCTCCCCATCCATAAAGCTGTTGCCCAGGCACTTGGGTCCTGTCACCTGCAGTCCCACTCCAGCTGAGGTGCTGAGACCCGCACTCATCTTTACCCCAGTCCTGCTAGTAGCTGGCACCCAGGCACATGGGCCCTGTGGACTGTGAACCTGCCCCGGTGGCTGATGTTCGGACCCTCACTTGCTTCACTTTCAGGGACCCCTTCACCCAAGGTCTGATACCAATTGCTGGCCCTGAATTCACCTTTTCTGGGCACCTCAGAAATATGCTTCCTAGTCCATGGTCCCTCCAGCTACTGATGCTGAGACCTTCACCCACTCCAGTTGCTGGCCCCACTGATACAGGGGTTTCTCCTGAGGTCTGATCCAGTTCCTGGCCCAAATTCACTCATGCTGGTCTCAGTTGCTAGCACCTAATCCTTACGGCGCTCAGGCGGGCTGGAGAGGGAGGTTACGTGGTAAGATAGTTGAGAAAAGATTAGTTACTAAGTTTCGCACAGTCCCACTTGTCCCCATCTTATCAGTTATGCAGTCCAGGCTGAGTCTCTACAAAGCTGTGCCTGCAGTTTCTTAATGGCCCATTAATTAGTGTCTGGAGACTTTCCTTCTTTGTGGTTGTCTCTCTTATCCCTCATCTATCAGGTTTGTGTCACTGTGTGTTTTATTTATTACTTTCCTGTTATTTATATCTTCCTTTGAGCTGAGAAGGTCCTTGATCTGATAACCTTAATGAAGCAGATGCTCTCATGTTCCACGTACCCTTACAGTGTGTTGCTTTTGTGTGTTTTGAAAAATCAAATGTTTTTCCCAGTAAAATATGCTGGGGGGAGATGCATTTTGTTTTTTGAAGATGCTTCCTTTTTTAAAAGTAGCTGGCTCCTCTTTATGACCTACCACTTCCAGCATTCACGTTCAGAAATTTAATTGAAATACTTTTTGCCAATTTTCTTTGCAAAGTACAAATCTAATAAAACGTGGGATTACAGAAGTGTAAGTGGTTTTTCCTGAGGGCCTCAGATTGCTGTACTAGAAGTGCAGATTCTGTGATAAAGGAGACTGTTCATGGGACCGTTGATACAACTGATACGCGGTATGGATTTCCAAAGTAGATGCAGTGCAGATGCCCAGACAAACATGAAAGGTTACAGAAATACCAGACAGTTGGTTTTCTCACTGGGTAGCAGTCTATCCCATGAATTGACTATAGCTTTTTGCTGTATGTAATCTGTTAGTTTTTCTTCTGCAGAACTCCTTGAAAAGGATCTCTTTGGCTTGCTTTGAATTTGCCTTTATCAGTTCTCTGTTGTTACTTATATTTGTAAAACGATAGTTTAAAAATGTAATCCTAAACTCTTGTTTCTGTCTCTGTTTAAGGGTCAGAGAGAGAGAGAGCAGGATTTTCTCTCTGTTGTCCCCTACCCCTCCCAGGGGGAGGATTAAGAAAAAGGAATAGAGAATAAAAAGAAAAATGCTTCGCACGAGGTTGGAAGTTAAGACTGTAACAAGTTTAATGAAAACAACAGGGGAAAGGAAAAGGGAGTTAATAAGGGACAAAGGATCTTTAAGTATATACAAAACCCGATCCCAGCAGTCCCGAGTGGAAGTGGCCGAGCAGTGCCTCGTGGCCGCTGCGACTGCTGTGACTCGTCACCAGGGACCGCAGTGGTGCCGGGAGCGGGGGGGGATGGATAGTGCCAAGCATGTGGAGCTAGGCCCAGCCGTCCTGAGATGCGACAGGAAGCAGCCCAGAAAAGCCAGGAAAAGCCCGCGAAAACCTTGGGGTTTTTTATAGACTGTGGCTGGAAAGGGAAGGGAACAGTACTGATCTGTGACCCTCCAGGGTCCTACAGACACCACCAGTCCTTCCCTTTCAGGCTGGTAACCCTTAAACCATAACAGCTTCTTTGAATGATCTCTTAGGAAAGCGTTTCAGATCCTTGTCATATGTGTATAACTAAACAGGTTTCATTCGTGTCTTACTGCAAAAGGCCATTTCCAGAGGAAGCTACTAGAAACTTTGAGCTGCTGACTAATTATTCATTTGACTTATACTGGTTTCATGAGCTAGGCAGTTAACCAGACTGCCAAACCACCCCTTGCTTTGTCTTTTCACCTATTGGTGTTTGCATGTTTGGAGGAGTTTTTACAATACGTCCTCTCTTTGCTCTGTTGTCTCACACAGTGAAAGTGTAGGATGACCTAGTGGTTTACTGACTTACTGGTCAGTGGTTTACTACCTGGAAAAATATCTATTAATTCTTTTGCTGTCAAGGTATAATTAAATAACACATCCGATGTGGCAGTCACTTCAGTCTGAATGTTTTTTGAATCCTGGGATAAGCACAGACCTTGGTAATAATGAGAGTTTGTTTGTAAAGGTGAACTTATTTTTGCCCCGTGATAAGTTAGTTTCATGGTTTCATGTGTTCTACTGAGCATAGACATTAACTAGCTCAGGACAAGGAATTTATTTCTAATTTGTGTTATAACCCTGACACGTTGTTTCTTTTTGCAGACAGTCATAGATGCCCATATCTTTCCAGCTCTTATAAATATTTTGCAAACGGCTGAGTTTCGGACAAGGAAGGAAGCTGCTTGGGCAATCACAAATGCAACATCTGGAGGCTCTGCTGAACAGATCAAGTATGAAATAGTTCAAATCTTTCAGTGCAATTGGGTGAATTAGTGTTTGTGCAAGAAATCAAACTAATAACCGAGAAACTAAAAAGCCTTTCTGTGTGCTTCCAGTGTTTGTTTCCAGAGAGACCACATCTTTGTATTGAGCTGTGAATGAGCCATTCATTCCTTTAGGGAGAAATAACATAAGAATTTCAGCTGTAATTCTTATTTCATTAATTGAATAATTTCTCTTATGTGAAAAGACTAAATGCAACTTTTAAACTCATTTCTTAGTGGTCATTGTAGTGCATAACGAAGTGCATTAGCGGTCTGGAGAGGAATAGCTTAGCCCCTCAGAGAAGTGCATCATGTGCATAGTTTTACCTGTGTAACTTCTATTGGTACGTTATGCTTAATAAAATAAAATAATGATATTATAAATAATATAGTTAATATTAATACAAAATACTTATAAATTGTAGTTATTATTAATTTAA